ATATATTATGTTTTATTTTCCCTAAGATATTATGTTTAATTTTCTATGTTTTATGGAAAATAAAACATAAAACATAATATTTAAAAAAAAAATCCAGATTCCAATAAAAAACGTTTGCAGTTTCTCTCTTTTTAATATACAAACTTTGCTCTCGTTGGAACTACTATAACCTCTTTCTTTTATATATATATATGTTTATATATATATATATATATATATATATATATATATATATATATATATATATATTTATATATATATATATGAGGTTCAGCTTTCTTTTCAGATTTACACTTTAGGATTATTAATCTCATCCTGGCTTCATTTTAAAGAACGATAGTTCATCATGAAATTATTCTGGAAGGGCGAAAGTGCATTTGAAATTCAGAGGTGGCATCAAAGTGAGTTTCATTCAGAGACACCTTACGCGGCTTACAACCTCACGAATTGGAGATAAGTTTGAAGATGATGGCACTGGACACGATGTGCGTAAGAACCGTCCTGGAAGACCACGGATATTAATAAGCACCGCGAAAGAAGAAAGGTTGATGGAAAATTTTCACAGAAGTCAAAGAAACCCATGGAAATGTTGACTGCTGCTTGTGATCATCACAGACATCAATTTGAAAACATTCGATGGCAAAATCTTAAGAGCATACTCTTATAATAAATACTGTTTTTATATGCATTATTTAAATTAGATATGGTTACTTGAATTACTTCTTGAGAAAGCTTCAGAATGTGTATACATTTTTGAAACACCTTGTAGTATATCAGGACATTTCAAATTCTAACCAAGTTCCTTCCGTTAACTTTCGAAAAGATGCTATTGAAAAAGGCATGAATCCATCTCCCCTTTCGCCCAGTTATGGTTTAAATAGCAGGCTAAGACTGGGTAAGTAGAATATATGTTAAGAGCTTCAGCTAAAATCCGTTGCATGCAAAATGCAATTTTGAAGAAACTCCGCTGTCAGAGCATACTAACATCAAGCACCAGATTTATTTAGCGCCATACCTCTAAATAGCAGGGTAGACTGGGGACTCTAGCCTTGAGTGGCAGCCAGCCTAGGAGAAGGACTACTCTGAATTCAAAAACCACAGAATTTTTTTTATTGATTCGTTTTTTACGGCTTATAAACACTTTGTAGGTTATTTAAAGTCTGAAGTTTTAGTTTTAGATTGTATGAATTTTTTAAGATAATAATGTTTTAGTGATGCAAGTCTTACTATTTAACCCATAGCAGGGAAGAGAAGAGATCGATTCATTCCTTTCTCAAGGGTATTTGTGTATATGTGAATTTAACGAAACCAACGAGAATTAGATCTCGACTCGCCAGTTACCAATTCCGTGTCATTATCCCTTACACCACCCGCACATCCAAACTTACAATAACTGGTATTCCCAAGCCGTCACCCACCTAGGTACTGAAAAACACGGTGATCGTACAGGGACCGGTGAAAACCACGGAGAATGCAACGGGAAACTACACAAATACTTTTCTCAAGTAGTCATGGCAATTGACAGACAGTGAGAAAAAGATTAACTGCCTTGACATTTTCTTGGCCATCACTAAAAGTTTAGCAATGCATTTATATATTAATATATATTAATTTAGGTACCTCCAGTCAATTTTTCGATACCTAAAGTTTAAAATGAATTTTTAAAAATGAAAAAGCATTCTTAAAGATTTTATTTTAGCTTTTATTGAAAGCTAAAGGATTAAATTTATTATTTCCATTAAGTAAAATATTCTGGTGTATTTCAGATAGAAATTATATAGATTAGAATGTCAAATATATGCTCGATTTTTTAAAAAATTTTCTTAAAAGCGGCCATTTTCTTAAATTTTAAGAAATTTGTAAACAAAAAAGAATTCGATTTTAAAATTCTTCTTAAAATAAATTATATATTTCTGACACGTTATTTGAGTAAAATCAGAAAATTAAAGTTAAATTAATCTGATTTGAAACAGACATTACTTACTTATAGCATCAAAAATTGTATTCAAACATTTCTTAACGATGTGTCTGAATTTTTTCATGTATTTATTAACGTTATCGATGTTATTGAGGTGATGAGAGCTACTATGGATGACTAAAATTGATACTGATTTTGAACAAGTAATTTTTAAATATTAACATTTTTTTTTAGCAATCATGTAATATTTATTTTTTATTTAATACTTTTTTTTAGTCTCTGTTTCTTATTTTAGGTTCTTAATCTTCTTATCTTATTTAATAACTTACTAACTTAAACAAAAAATTACTTCAATGAAATATGACCCAAACTAAAATAAATACCTAAAATAAAAATATTTAGTAAAAAAGTAATTAAAAAAAATTAAAGCTAACTTAGAAATTTTGAAAGGACTTTTTACAAACATATTAACGGTGTGAAACAGAACTGGATATTGAAGGGAAATAATTACAGTGCGTCAGACGACACTCAAATCACGGGACCTTTTTAAGGATTATGTCATGTATAGATACCCATAGATAGAAATTAAGAAGGTTCACTAAAAATTATTTTAAAAATTATTTTTAAAATATTCGGTTTCAAACGTCTGTTTTACAAATTTTGATTCGTAAATTTACTTCTCACTGAACCATATCCACAAATTGCATTTTTAAAATTAATGAAAAATTTTAAACGATTTTTGAAGTATTAATATTATAAATAAAATTTTTTAAAAATAAAAAAAAAATTTATAAAAATTAATTATTCATCGAAAATTTTTGTTTCTTCAGATAGTAGTGTACTTAATATAACTTATTTACAAAAGCAAGTAAAAGTTTTCTAATTAAATAATGTCAGTTTTTTTGCATATTTTTTTACAATTCTGAGCAGATTTTCCAAGAAACAGGTAAATGTTTTACAATTAAAATTGGTGATTTACTTTCTCTAAAGAGTCCTGTTTTTAACTAATAAAAAATCCCACTCTTAAAAATTTAATTTCTCGAAATTTCATGAAAACATGTTAGGGGGTGGAAACATATCTAAAAAAAATCTTTTTTACCAAGATTTTCTAAAAAAAAAAGAAAAAAATTTCAAAAATAATTTCATTCATTTCTGAATATTTCCTAAAATTTTCATTAAAATCCGACAATTATTTGAATTTTGCAAGAATTTCCAAATCAATGTGTGTTTTCCTCGGGAAAAGAGCAAAATAAAACAAACCATTTTCTCTCGTTGGCCGCTTTCGTAAAAAAACCAAAAAAAAAACAAGATTTTTAACCAAAATTTTGAACGTGCTAGAAAGGAGTAAAAAATTTCAAAAAATAATAAATAAATAAAACAACTTTGGTCTTTCCTCTTAATAATAACATAAACATTTTGATGACAAAACTTTTTTTTTTTTTAGTTTGGGGACTTTTTTCATCATGCTATGCTGTTTTTTTACGCGACCTAGTGGAGGTACTTATATTAAATGCATGAACCAGCCTTGTTTTCAGTTAAACATTTAATGGTTGACTGACTTCTTAAACCCGTACGGCTATATGCTTAGAAGCAATAAATCCTGTAGTCTAAACAACTCTTCGAATCATCCCCTCCCAAACATGGTAGACTGGATTCCCTGGCTTTGGGTAGAAACCAGTTTAGGAGGAGTAGTCTGAATTTGAAATCGTGGAGAGGGCAACAGCAAACAGCGATATTATCTTTCCTAAGAAATCATGACAATTCACAGACAATGAAGGAAATGGATTCTAAGAAGAGCTATTATCGTTTATATCCTAAGGGACTTGTCATTACAAATAAATAAAAATAAAATGGAATAAGAAAACTCCGATATTACCGTTATCATTGCTTTTATCTATGAGATAAACAGTAGATTAAATTGTCCTCTCAAACCTTAGGTGACAAGAATAAAAACTTTGAAATACAAACCATAGAAAAACTCTCCAATAAATCATGGCAAGTCACAGATTCTACATATTATGCCGCTTCCTTTATGAACATGGGCGATCATGGCTCTCCATTATTTCCCCAATAAATCATGGCAATTCACAGATTCTTCATTTTTTGCCGCTTCCTTTCTGAACCTTGGTGATCATGGCTCTCCATTATTTTCCCAAATAAATCATGGCAATTCACAGATTCCTCATTTTTTGCCGCTTCCTTTCTAAAATCTTGGTGATCATGGCTCTCCAAAACTTCTTATCTCTTGTCACCCTTAAATGTTATTTTCCCATTGCTAAGGCTCTCGTTCCACCGTCTTGCCATTCATTCACACACGCTCGTCAGATAAGTGGCTCGTTCACTTAAACTCGATGCGCCCTGTGAGTGTTGTTTTCCAAGCTCTCCCTCCTCATTATGTGTCCAAGAAAGTTCAGCTGTCTCCTTCTGATTTCTGAATGTAGGTGTTCGTTTTGTTACCATTTTATTTAAGACTCCATCTCTACTTAATCACTCCGTTCATGAAATTCTCAGTATTCTTCTGTAGAACAACATGTCTTCTAACGTCAATATTCATTTCATGTCCCCCGTACCGGGAAATAAAAAAAATATGATTATTAATAAAAAGGGTTGAATTTAATGCATGCCAGATTTCACAGTTCCGGAATCATTCATTCATAGTCAGCCTATGAACTTTTCAGCCCACCCATGTACCTGAAAATAAACAATGCAGTTATTAATAAGAAGGGTTGAAATTAATGCATGCAAGATTTCACAACTATAGAATCACTTCTTCATAGTCAGCCTATAAACTTTTCAGCCCATCTTCATACATGGAATCATTTGAGTGAATAAAAGCAATGAATTTATATATTATATATTTCCAATGAATTTCTATATATGCTCGGTGGTGTATAATACATTGAGGGGGGGGGTAAATTCTCCCAGCGCCTCTATTATGATTCTACCCGTACCTCCTTTCGCGAGTTAGTTAGTTCTTTGGTTAGTTCGCACGACCGTTACGCCCTGCCAACACCACGTAAATAATAGTTGTCTCCCGAGTCATGTTTTTAAATAAGGGCGCTGGGAATGTTTTGCACAGTCCTACGGCCACATCACGTTGAAACGCCGGTTTCCGTACGATCGTCAAAGTTAAGCAATGTCGAGCCTGGTCAGTAGCCAGACGGGTGATCGCTTACGAATACTAGATGCTCTAAGCTTGTATGTGCAGGTGGTGTAACGGATATACGCGGAATTGTTAATTAGAGAGCCGAGTTCCAATTACAGTCAGGTTCGTTAAATTCATTTACGCGTAAATAACCATGGGAAAGGTATGAATCCACCTCTTCTCCCCTCAGCTATGGGTTAATTAGTAAGACTTCTATCATTAAATAAGTATTATCTCCAGAAATAGAATAAAATTGTGTATAAAAAATATTTAGCATTAAATAACCCATTCATTATTTTGTTTTACAGCCTATCAGGCTCAATGGGTTAATTAATACCTACACGATTTTTAGAATAGGTTCGTATGAATAGAATATGTATTCTTTGTAAGAAATCAGTTTGTAGATCAGGTTTCATTGAAGTGTTTTTGTAGAGAGTTTTTTTTTGTCGAGAGTCAAATATATTGCTGGTAATTTTCTTTTTTTCGAAAATGCATTGCTGGCTATATATGTTGTTTTTTCAAAAATGTATTGCCGGTAAATTTTTTTTTACAAAAATGTTTTGCTGTTAATATTTTTTTTCCAAAAAATGTATTTCTGGTATCCCTATCTATAAAAGGCAGGATGTGTGTGTGTGTGTGTGTGTGTGTGTGTGTGTGTGTGTGTGTGTGTGTGTGTGTGTGTGTAACGAATGCACGGCCGCAATTTTCGACGGATTTGCACCAAAATTTACATGCACATGCTCCAAGTTAGCGGGAAGGCCAACACCGACTTTGCATTTCCCAACTTCCATCGATAGTGGAAATAATCGATTTTTTCATGCTTCTACGCCAGTTTTCATGTAGTTTTAGGCCATTTTGTAGTGGCCAGAATGAGAGCCTATAGCTGGCTGACACGAATAGGCAGGAAGATTCTATTGGCCAGCGTGAGAGCCAACAGCTGACTGACACGAATGTTAACTAGCATGCTACCATGCAAAAAAAAAATCGATACCTACATTCGTCACAAGTGGGAAAAATTTAAATCTGCATGGCACTTTACTCCAATTGGCTCATTTGCTTGCTTAAACTCAACGTTGATTCTGATTCCGCAGAACAGGGTTGGGTGTGAAAAAGTACTGGTTGTTAACATTCTTTTTTCATTCGGTTTTTCCAGTTACGAGTCCTTTTTTAAAGCTGATCGTTTTGTGTTCATTTTGTTTAGTTCTTTTTTCGTAACAGATTTAATGTTTAGTATAGAGCTTAGAAAAAAAATTCGCAGTGTGAGATAGGCAAGAAGTAAGGCATGTAGCAACATCAGCACGGCAAAGGACACTCCTTTAAAGGCAAGGAAGCGCAAAAATATTTTAAGTCAAGTGATAGCGATTGCTGTATGAGTCGTACGATTTTTGAATCAAGCACGGGCAACGCCGGACCATGCTGCTAGTTTTAACTATAAAAATCTATTTCTATACTTTCGTAGTGTTTGGTTTTTCTTGGGGGGGGGATTCATAATTTTTCCATAGCTGGAACCCTAACGGATGCTACCACCCCGGATCAGGGTGGACCTGAGAACACCAGCAATTAACAGATGGTCACTCAAAATCCCGTGATCAGAGGTCTTGCTGCCGGATGTTGTTCATCGTCTTACCTAGGACGTCACAGAAGATGATACGCCACTAAACAAAAGAAAGCAACCTTTTGAATATGGTGATCAACTGATGTAAACGTTTTCGCAAGTATGGTATTTCAAAATCTATTGGTGAGTCGAATGAAGGAAAATATGACGGAGAAAAAATATATTATCGGGAAAATTGTGTTGTCAAATTTCCAGGGGAAAAAAATCATTTCATCTTTGCTTCTTATCGAATTTGATGAAATACACTCTTCACCAAATACACTTACCACATTGAATAATCATGCTTAGTCCTATTGAGAAGCTTTCAAATTGTTTTCTTTTTTTAATTTCACCACAAGCAAAGCAATAACGCCACTAAGATGCAAAGTGTTCAGGAAGACAGAAGATTGCAATTGTCGTTGCATTTAAATACTGAAGATTGTAGTTTACAGGGAAGCAAGAAACCGGAAGGGAGTTCTACAGAGAAGGGTGATGGGGAAAAATAGTAGATCAGAACTTACGGTGACATCTAGCTAGTTCAACATTAAAAACTGTGAGACCTAACTACCAATCTAGTAGTACGCTTAGAGTCACATGGTCGAGGAATTAAAAAGGAAAGTTCACGAGGAAAACTGCCATAAAAATATTTATAGAAAAGACAGAGGGAAGCCACGTGACAGCGGTGGGGAAATAGTCAAGATGCCGGGTCAACATTACAGACCTGGGATTTTTCTCGTGAATCTCGAGATATATAACAGGAGCACCTGACCTGATACAGCAGCAATGTTAAATGCATAGACGAATGGTACATTTATAAATTACATATTCTGACGAGAAACATTGCCTGGCACGACACAGTGAAGCATCTTTCCTAGCAGTAGACATAGCAATCGATTCAATATAATCACTTAATTTCATGTCAATAGAAAATATTATATAAAGAAGGTGCAATAGGCTTTTTCTCCACGAGGTTAGCATCAGCCATGCTTATAGAAGACAAAAAAATCTCTGTATGATGATCGTAGATTTTAGGTAGCATGTAAACAAGACCGAGCAAGATAGCAGTTTCATTTTGGAGGCGTTAAAATTTACAAACCATTTCTTGCCCCAGTTAACAACTAATTCGATGTCATTTTCGAGAGGAGTTTCCAGTTACACTTTGTGGAACTTATCGGACATGTTATTAACACGGTATTTACCCGTTATCTCCCCACCCCACACACACACAAAGCGAGATTCGGCCTTTTTTACGTGGGGTTTTCCGAGTCCGCAGCCCCGGGGAAGAAATTCCCCGTAGGCCCCGATTACACGGGGTCGGGTAGCTGTCTACCTCTCCAGACGAGAGTCTACCCTTCGGCATAGCTTCGACTGGGTTCCTCTCCGCCCGGAGGCAGAGAGTTTGACAACAGGCAAAGAAACTTACCTACTACTGAGATTGGAGGGAATGGTTATGTTTTCAGCATAAATATCTGATGACATGTCGAAGGGAGTTGATGAAGATATGAAACAACGAAGTTCCAGGGATAGAGACCCGGGGGGACCCTATTATTAATTTGAAATGATCCAAAAGTGTGGCTGGTCAATATGTTCTTTATTACGCCGAATGATTGGATTAAGCTAAATATTCGGCCAGAGACACCATGGCTCTTCAGCTTTCATTTTTTCCAAGCATTTCCCGCCAAGCAAGGCAGGAATGCCACTAATACGCAGGAGGCTACAGAGAGTGTAAATAAGAAAAAAAGACTGGGTGTAGATGGGGGTTTAAGGAAAGGATAAAAAGAAAAACGAAGGAGGATAAAAAAGAATTGGGATCAAAGCAACAGAAGATGTCGATTGACATAACCTTTAAATTTTTTGAAGATTATAGTTATCAGGAAAGCAAATAAGAGGAAGGGAGTTCCACTGTCGGGAAGTGCGAGTGAAGAAGCTGTTGCAGTAGAAGAGGCGGTTACATTTAACTGTTTCGACAATAAAAGGTTGGGACCGAGATGCCAACCTAGTAGCACGCTTAAATTTATGCAGTTGGGGCACCAGTGAAAATAGCTCGTCAGAGCAGATGCTAGCAAGATATTTGTAGAAAAGTTTGTAACGTACAGTGTCCGTTAATAATTAAGTATAACTCAAGACTTCAATGATAAAATAAAACAGTATTTAATTACAATCGCAAATAAATACTTAACAAGAACAAAGAAAATAGAGTCAATTAAAGATAACTATTTCAGTGAATACCTTGTTAGTAGCGTGGCTCGGCTTAACATCCGGCAAATCGTAAGTCACAACCCAAATCATCGACGCACAGTAATTAACACTAATTCGACTGGATAGTTCCACTCTATAGTCACACAATAATCACTGCAGTCAGTAGCCTGACACCGCTATTTATACATCTGGTGGAAAACATATTCATAAATCCAGAGTGTCACGCTCAAACCTCGGTGACGGTAGTTACTCATTTTCTTCCTGTATGACCGAAAGACAAAGAGAAACCACATTACGTCGGTGAGAAAGTGACTGGAGTCGAGACCCCATGTCAGAACCGATCACATTGCATACCCGTCTTTGGATATTGTCGAGAACCTCTAGATGAACAGCGGGAGCACCAGACCATATTGTTAAGGTATTCGGCATGCCAAACTCTGTCAAACGCCTTCAAGATATCTAAAGCCACAGCCTGAGCCTCGCCATGCTTATCTAAAGCCTGATAGACAAATTTACTAACAACCGTTAACACACCGGAGGTATATCTAGAGAAACGAAAGCCATATAGTTTATCCGAAATAAAGGCTACGTGAAGTAAGATGTTTAACCAATTCGAAGTGGGTTTGAGCTTTAAGTGGTTTACCAAAAAGAGGTAAATGATTAATAGGACAATATTTTGAAGGATCAAAACGTCCACTAGATTTCGAAAAGACAGAAACGACAGACGTGTATTCCCAACAAGCTGGAAAACAAGAAGCCGTGAGGCATTTGTTGCCGAATTTGGAAAGAAACTGGAGTTATTTGAGGAACACATTGCGTATCTCGACGATGTGTAATGGTTAACAAGCTCGTCACGCTGGATCAATTACAACTGAGTAGTGAGTTCGATCCTCTTTGGGTGACCCATACTTTCGGCCTTGTTCCACATCTAAGCTACACTTAGAAAATCGCCGGTTTTACTTCAAGGTGATGTAAGGATTAGCAACTTGTCTCGTTAGCTTAGATCAGTGGTTATCAACCTTTTTTTACCCATGGACCCCTTTCCCCTTCTTTTTATCTTGGTGGACCCCTTCATAGCTATTGGACATAAGAACAATTTTCTATTCTTCACTAATATAAATTTTAAGGTTTTAATTATCAAAGAAATAGTATACGATTAAGCTTTATTTTTAAATGAAAACTAATTTAATACAAATAAAATATTCTACTATAATTATAATAATAATTATTATTACTATTTTTAATTAACACA